CATCTGAACTGGGGCCAAGGGGTGTACCTACCCAGTGTCTGGGAAGTCCAGTCTACATCAACAGTGCACGGAACAGAAATCTGAAATGATATACAAGTAGCTGTTAAAGACATTTGTTATATTTGGCATTAAACACGTCACAATTTAATTCTGGACTCACAAAATTCCAGAAACTCTCCGCACTGTGGGCACTTTCTCACAAGGGATTTGACCAAATTAAACATGTTGTTATGAATATATGCCAAGGTTGAAAAAATGAAAAAAATAAAATCATAAAAATTTAAATTTAAACTCGCTCGCCCATGGGCGAACAGTGGCCCATGGGCGAGAATGTTTAATTTTGCTCAGAATTCATGTTTTGGAGGTTGTAAATGAATGAGTGTATAAGTGTTTATAAGCATTATGACACAAATTTCAACTCATTTTGACTTAATTCGACTAACATAGGGCGATATTAAAAAGTCTCGCCTATGGGCGAAAAATATGTTGGCCTATGGGCGAGGATATTTACTTTTACTCAAAATACATGTTTTTCAATGTTTTGGAGGTTGTAAATGAATGAGCGTATGTTTATAAGCATCATGACACAAAATTCAATTCATTTTGACTTAATTCGACTAATTTAGAGCGATATTAAAAAACCTGCATTATTAAGGGTAACATGGATTAGCTAATAGTGCATTGCCAGGAGACCCACATTCACACGATCACTCAACCATACCCATTGCCGGTTGAGCCAAACCATTTTCAACTCTTGTTTTCTTAAAAGTGGCTTTCCCGGGCTAAAACTATCAGCACACCCCAATCCGACCACCTGTCATTAATTACCTGTCATGAGTTATCAGTTGTATTGAAGCTCTCGCCTATTGTTTCATTACTTAATTGTTTCAAGGATAGGTATGTAGTCACTCCAAATTTACCATATGTGCGTGACTGTCCTCCCCGACGTCCGCGCCCACCTCTCAACCTAGCAATCTCGATCCACTTTCTGCTCACTATCAAGCCATCTATAACTTCTCCAACCACCTGTCTTCTCAGAGGTCTGCGCGCCCCCAGACACCACCGATCCCTGCCACCTCTCAAGCATCAACAATAACAAGCTCCACGGTCAAAGCGCCATAGCCCCTCAGTCAAGGCCACTCAACCAGCTTACTACTGCCTCTCAATTACTACGCTCGCCCAGCCTGCCTTGCCACCTTCAATGTTCCCATACCACCCTCTCACCCCACCCCAGTTTAACCCCTTTTTCTTTCTTTACCCATTATTTAATTATAAACAGCTTAACTGTTTCCAAAACAAGAACCCCCTATGCTATACTATACAAATGTCAACCCGCTGGTACAAATGTCATATTTCGTTTCCTGAGTGGAGACATTTTACATTTTGTAGAAAACCAGTGCATTGATCACTTAAAACAACACCGTTTTCACAACATCAAACATCAACTAAATTTGACAGATTTTTTTACTTAAGGTGTTCTGGCACGAACCCCTCGATTGGTTTACTTAAATAAGTAGTAATGTTGAACATGAAATCAGTGATTAGAGATCAATAGCAGTACAACTGCATCACAAAAGGTTATTCCCCGATTTTCCAATATAACTTTTTTGTAAACACGACGTCGCCCGCGGGGTGACGTGGGTGACGTCGCCATCGACGTCGATTTTGTATTTTTGTCGTAGATCATTCTTGTGTATTTCTGCACGACGTCGTCGTCGACGTAGTCTTTTTTATGCGACGTCGTGGGCGACGTCGCCCACGACGTAGTTCTTTTTTTACGCGCCACGCGATGGCAATTATAGGACACCATAGTTTTATATGTGGAGTTCTAGATTTTATGCAGCAGATTGGAATTTTGGAGGTAGATGGCTAGTGCGTTGAAGATGCTTGTGGGGTTGTGTGGATTTAGTAATAATGGGATGTTGTGATATTTAGGGGGAATGCTGTTGTGTAGTTGCTTGATATTTGACTTTTGTAGCTGGCAGTGTATGAGTATGTGATTTATGTCTTCTTGAGTTTTGCAATGTGTACATAGTCCATCTGTATGTCTGTTTTGTTTATAAAGTGTGTGGTTAAGGTTTGTGATGACTGTGATAAGTCTATTAATAGCCGTGTCAATATTTTTATTGTTTTAGAATGCAGGGATTTTTCTTATAGGTGATTTTATTATGGATGTGACCCAGGTTGATGTGTTAGTATTGATGTTGTGATGGAAGTTGGTATGTTGTATGTTTGATTTGATGAGTTGTTTTATTTCTGTTTTGGATGTGTGGAGTTTATGTTTGGTGATTTATGTGTTGTTGCTATTTTGGCCGCAGTATCAGCTATGTCGTTGCCTGTTATGTTGGAATGGCTGGGTGTCCAGGTAATTGTTATGTTTTTGTTTGCTCGTTTAAGCGAGTCTGTTTGTATGGTTATATTGTGTGTATGAGATCAGGACGAGATTTTGAATGTTTGTTTTGTATTTGCTTGATAGAGTTTAATGAGTCAGAAATGATAAGGAAGTTAGTTTGGGGAGGGTGGGGATTAAGTGCAGTGCAGTGAGTATGGCTGTTAATTCTGCGGTATTTATTGTGGTGTGATTTGTATAGTGTAGGTTTGTGTTGTGATGGGGGTTTTGTTGAACATGTATCCCTATACCAGTAGTTTTGTTTTAAGTTGATGGAAGCGTCTGTATATATATATGGGTGTGGCTGGGGTAGCTGTTGTTAATGTAGTTGTTTGTGATGTTTGTTATAGTGGATTTGTTGGTGTCTTTTGGTAGCTGGTGTAGGATGTTTTCCAGGGTAGTGTCTGTGGTGGGTGGGGGTTTGTCGTGAATGTAGCTTGTAATGGGAGGTGTGTGTTGTATGTCGTTTAGTTGTTGTTAATGTAATAGTTTGTAGAGGTGTGTGAGGCATGGAGCTCTGGAGGGGTTTAGTTTGAATTTTTTAATTGTTGATTTCTATATATTGCTGTACTTATGTGTAATGAGTTTAAATAGTGGGTTGTGTTGGGCTCCAGCCCAGTAATTGAGTGTTGTTTGGTTGATTCTTTGTGTGAATGAAGTAGTGCCTGAAAGTAGAAGTAATGTGTTTAGGGAGGTACCAGTCCTCGTACCTAGGGCTAGTTTTAGCGCTTTATATTGAATAGAGTTAATTTTTTGGAGATTGTAGGGGGGGGGAGCGAGCGGAGGACCGGGGCGGCGTAGTCCAATTTAGGCAGTATAAGCGTTTTATATATGTTGATGAGTGTGTGTTTGTCGGCACCCCAGTTTGTGCCGCTGATGGCTCTCATTAAGTTGAGATCTTTTTGACATGAGTTGACCAAGTTATGGATGTGGGGCGTCCATGTCATATGTTGGTCGAAAGTCACTCCTAAGAATTTTGCTTCCTTTTTTAATTCAATTTTTTGGTGATTTAAGTGCAGTTTGGGTGTATAATTTTGCATACGTTGGGTTTTGAAGAGAATGCCCACGGTTGTTTTTACATTTATGAGGAATCCCCACTGTCGGGCCCAATTTTGGATATGATTTAGCATTTTTTGACATTTTGTGGAGATTTGTTTTATAGAGGTTTTATATCTGCAAATTTAGCTTTTGAAATTTCTGGCCATTTATCCGGGAAAATATCATTGATCATGAAATTAAAAAGTGTTGGCGATAATATGCTGCCCTGGGGGGTCCCATTTTCTAGGGGGTGGGGGTCCGAGAGGGTGTTGTGAGATTTGAGGATGTGTCTATTATTAAGGAAAGAGTGAATGAAATTTAGAATTCTTCCGTGAATGGCATATTGTTGGAGTTTTTGTATGAGGCCGTTGTGCCAAACCATATCAAATGCTTTACTAAAGTCAATGAAAATGGCCATAGTGTATTGTTTTTTGTGCATGGGCTACTTTAATATCTTGTTCTAAATGTAAAATATGGTCCAAAGTTTGCCGGTTTGGAGTAAAGCCACTCTGCTCCTCCTTGATTAGGTTTTTGAAGAGATAAGGTGTTTGAGCCTGTTGTTAATTATACTTTCTAGAGTTTACATAAATGAGAGGTGGGGAGATGGGGCGATATGAATCAGGCTCATTGCTGGGTTTCCCTGGTTTGAGGATTGGTACCACCTTGGCTGTTTTCCATGTATTTGGTATAGTACCTGTGGTCCAGATATGGTTAAAAGGGGTAAGTGTTAGGTTTTGCATGTTTGGTGTAAGTTTGTTGAGTATAGTGTATGTAATGGTATCTGGACCCGGGGCTGAGGCTGTCTGTTTGTTTTTAATGCAGAATGGAGTTTATATTTATGATTTTATTTATAGGTGAATCTGTATGGGGTGGTTGTGGGGTGTATGGAGGATGATTTTTTATAGTGTTTTGGAAGGAGGGTGGGTAGTTGGTGGAGCTACTTACGGCCGAAAGGTGGGCAGCAAATGCATTAGCTCTGTCTTTGTTTGTGGCTAGGTCCGGAAAGTTTGGAGAAATAGTTTTTTGGGAGATGCCCTTAATGGCCTTGAATTTATTCCACATGGTTCTGGAGTTTCGATTTGATAGCCTAAGGGTAGAACAAAATTGTTTCCAGTGGTCACTTTTTGCTGCCTGGATTAATTTCTTGGTTTTATTTCTTAGTTGTTTTGCCAAATGTAATTTCGAACGGTCCCTTTTAGATTGATTTAGGGCCCTTTTTCTTGCCTTTCTGGCTTTAATGATTTCAGTGCTCCACCAGGGGACTGTTTTTTGTGCAGGGTTATACCGAAAGGTGGGGATGCATTTTTCTGTAATATCTAGTATGGCGTTAGTGAGGTTGTTGTTGAAGGTGTTAATGTCTGTGTTGAAAATGGTTGTAGTGTCTATTTGTTTACATAGTGTTGTGAATTTGTTCCAGTCTGCTTTTTAATGTTGTATCTTAGTGGGGGCGGGGGTGGGTGGTGGGGGTGTGGTGAGTGTGGGAATATGTGATGTGATTGTAATTTTGATGGGGCAGTGGTCGCTGGCCCAGGTGTCGTCGTGTACCTCCCATATACAAGCTTGTGTATTTTGGGTGTGGTGAGTGTGATGTCAATTGCTGTAGGTGTCTGTAGATGGGAGATGGGATAGCGGGTAGGTTGATTGTCGTTAAGAGAATTGAGGTTTTGTGTGCTTAGCCAGTCGGCTAGGCGGGTGCCGTTTAAATCAGTGACAGTGGATGGTGTGCATTAAAGTCTCCGAGGATAATAGTTTGGGGACCTATGAAATTAGCCAGGATGTCCAAATCTTGGGTGGAGATTTTGAAATTTGGTCTTCTATAAACGTTAATGATGGTTAATTTATTATTTAATTTAGGCCAGGGTCTAAATCTTTTACTGGAATTTGCAAATAAAATGCATAGTTAGCCTGGTCCGGAATAAAATTGTAGCCTGGTAAAGGCATTTTGGGGGATAATCTTGTTTCTTGCAGAGCTATAATATCGGGTGAAATTTTGTTTTGGGCAATGAGTGCCTTGAGCTCATGCCCATGAGCTCAGAGACTGTTGCAGTTCCACTGTATAAGTGCCATGGTTACTGCAATTAGGAATAGGATTTTAATAAATGCCATGGCGTGGGGCATGAATTTGGAAGAATGGGGATTTGGTGCTAGAGTAGCTTAGAGGTTGGTTGTTTAAAAGGGTTTTGAGAGCGATGAGGGAGACTGGCCAAGCTTTTGTGATAGAGTTTGGATTTATGTGAGAGAGTATGTAGTTTTTAGCTGTTGGTTTTTCCATTAGTGTGGGCTGCAATGATAAATTCGACAATTTTGTTTAAGTTTTGGTTTACTTTTTGTGGTGTGAGGGTTAGTGTGGGTTTGTGGCTGGTGCTGGTGCTGGGTGTTGTAGGTGGGGGCTTGAGTTTTATTTGTGGGTAGGGGGTTGGTGGTTTGTGTTGGGAGGTGTTTTGGGGTGGGGGAGGGTTAGTGGGTTTGGAGGGGTGCAGTTTGGGACGTGTTTGTTTAGGTGGGGCAGTTGGGATGGGGTGTGGGGAGGAGGGTTGTTTAGGGGTGGCGGTTTTGGGTGGGTGTGGTGGGGGTTTAGTTTGGGTGGGTGGGTAGGGCGTGTAGGTTTGGTGGTTGGATGGGTGGAGCGGTGTTTGGTGGGTTTAGGTGATGGGGAGTGAGTAGAATGATGAGTTGGGGGTGGAGGAGGAGGGATGAGCTAGCTGAGAGGATGGAGTTGTATGAGAGTAGTGTGCGTGCTGGTTTTGGCAGGTCGGTGTTTTTGATGTGTTTGTTGAGCCTGAGGATGTGTTTTTGTTTGATGGGACATGTATTTTGTGTAGCGGTGTGGCCGGGTGTGTTGCAGTGAATGCAGTATTTTTGTTGGCGACATTCATCAAGTGTGTGTGTGTGTCCGACCCGCATTTTGGACATAACATGGGGAGTTTGCATGAGTCGGAGATGTGTGAGAATGAGAAACAATATTTGCATTGTTGTGGGTTTTTGCGTGTTGGGTGTACTTTGTAAGTGAGAGCGCCAAATGTAATGTGAGTGGGGAGTGTAGTGGTGTCGAATGTGAGAAAGGTTGTTTGTGTGTTAGGGTTGTAGGTGGTGGGTTGTCTGTTGTTGATGGCTCTGAAGTTTGTGATTTTTGGTTGATTGGGAATGGTGTTTGCGATGTCAATGAAGTGTTTGATATCTGATTCTGTTTCTCTTGTGTCTATGTATATGACTCCTTGGATGGATGTCTGCCAGCGTGGATACTGCCAACTTATCTGCTTGCCGTCTATGAGAGTGTGTTTTGAGGTGTAGTTTAGTGATTGTTTGTCCGTGAATGTGATTTTGAAGCCTCGTCCGCAATTATTTATGTATTTGTATTGTATGTTGTGTTGTTTGAGGCAGAGGGCAAATTTATTTATTGAGTATGTGTGATTAAGTGGTGTGTGGGTGTTTGTGGCAAAAGCGAGGAGTATAAGTTTGTTGTCTTTGGTTTGGGGTGGAGTGGCTTTGTCGCATTGTTTTTTGTTTGATTGGGAGCTTTCGGTGGGTGAGATGTGTGGGCGCTTGGTGGATTTAGTTGTGTTGCTTGGGTGTTGTGGAGGAGGGGGTTGTTTGGTTGTTTGTTGGGGTGGGGCGAGGGAGTCAAGGTCAATACCAAAATTTATAGGGATGGGGTTTATTTGATGTGGGGAGGTGAGGGGTGGGAAATCTTTGTTGGTGTGGAGAACAGTGAGATGGAGAGGGGAGGGGAGGCCATGGTGTGGAGGGGGAGGTTGGTTTGTATGGGGGGGGCAGTAGGGGCTTGGATTATGTACACTATATACACAGATGAATACAAACAAATGGAAAAATAAAGTACATTTATACAAGAGATTTAGGAAAAGAAAAGGAGAGATGAATATTGTAGAGAGCGATTGCTTGATTGTCTTTAGGATTTTATGAGAGTAGTCTCTGGGAATAGTTCAGTGGGTAACACTTGCGTGTTTCCTGGCCCGAGGGCCGCGGTGGGCGGCCGGTGGGTTGAGGTCTGTAGTCTGTTAGCTGAGGGCTTCAGAGGAGGAGGAGGTTAGAGATGGCGGGGCCAGCTTTTTAGTTGAAGTAATGGCGGCGACTGGCGATCGGTGCAGGGCGTTGCGTGTCACCATTGACCAACTCCAAGCGCATACTAAGCGTATCTGAATGATGTGGGCGGCGACGACGACGAGTTTGATGGTTTAGCGTAAGGCAAAGGCCGTGGCTGTGGGTTGAAAGGCTGTGGGTGAGCTGGCTGGGTTGAGAGGCCGTGACCTTGTACTGGAGAGGTTGTACTGGTTTGTTTACAATTTAGTGGCTACTGATTGGCTGAGAGAGGGCGCGGACGTCGTAGCAGAAATAAGGCACTCTGGATAAGTGAAATTGATTCCCAGGTCTAAATAGGTAGGCTTATGTTGGTAATAGAGTAATAGAATGGATATATGTTCACGTGACCTGCAAAGTATTCTGGAACAACAATAATTGTAATATAGGCCTTAAGGCCAGAATTACTGAATAAACTGAACTGAACTAATAGTATGGATAAATGAAGTTTTGAAGCCTAGTCTAAATATATAAGCTATTGAGAGGTAGTGTAATGGAGATTTGTTTGGGAGGTTCTAAATTTTATGGATTAGGTTGGAGTTTTCTAGAAAGGTGGCTATGGCGTGGAAGATAGTGGGCGGGTTGAGGGGATTAAAAAGTAAATGTATATTATTGTGGTATTTAGATGGTATACTGTTGTGTAGTTGTGTGATGTTTGTTTGTTGTAGGTAGCATTGTGTGAATATATGGTTTATGTCTTCTGGTGTGTTGCAGTGGGAGCAGAGTTCATCTGGGTGTCTGTTTTGTTTATAGAGTGTATAATTGAGATTTGTGATGCCTGTGATTAGTCGGTTTATGCAAATGTCAATGTTTTTGATATTGGAGAATGTAGGAAGTTTGCTGATAGGTGTTTTTATGATGTTTTTAACCCATGTTGATTTATTAGTATTTATGTTGTGCTGGAAGTTTCATTTGGATATATTTTTTTTAATAAGTTGTTTGAGTTCTGTTTTGGATGTGTGGAAATTGATGCTAGGTGAGTTGTGTGTGGTTGCTAGCTTGGCGGCTGTGTCTGCAGTGTTATTTCCTGGAATGTTGGTGTGGCTGGGTATCCATATGAATGTTATGTTTTTGTTTAAGCGTTTGAGTGAGTCTGTTTGTATTATAATATTATGCATTAAGTCAGGGCGTGATTTTGAGTGCATATTTTGTATTTGTTTGATAGAGCTGAGAGAGTCGGATAGTATGAGAAAGTTTGTATGTTGAATTGATGGTATTAGGTGTAGTGCTGAGAGGATTGCAGTTAGTTTGGCGGTGTTAATAGTGGTGTAGTTTGAGTAGTGCAGGTTTGTTGTTAGTGGGGGGGTTTGATCTACATGTATACCTATGCCTGTTTTATTGTTTTTGTTGATGGATGCATCTGTGTAGATGTGGGTGTATGCAGGGTAGTTTGTTTGAATATAGTTGTTTATAATATTTAATTTGGTGTGTATATCAGTGTTGTTTGGCAGGTTTTGTAGTGTGGAGTACTAAAGTGGTGTCTGTGGGTGGTGGGGGTTTGTCGTGGATGTAGCTTGTAATGGGAGGTGTGTGGGGTATGGTGTTTAACTGTTGGGCATGTAGCAGACTGGTGAGGTGGGTAAGGCATGGAGCTATACTTGGTTTTATTTTGAATTTTTTAAGGGTTGATTTTTTTATGTTGTTGTATTTGTTTGTAATTAGTTTGAAGATGGGGTTGTGTTGGGCCCCAGCCCAGTAGGTGAGCGTGGTTTGGTTGATTCTGTGGGTGATTGAAGAGTTGCCTGTAATAAGGAGCAGTGTATTAAGGGAGGTACCACTCCTCGTGCCTGTGGCTAGTTTGAGGGCCTTATATTGGACTGAGTTTAGTTTTTGGAGGTTACAGGGGGATAGGTTGTGGAGAACCGGAGCGGCGTAGTCCATTCTCGACAGTATAAGAGTTTTGTATATGTTGATGAGTGTGTGTTTGTCGGCACCCCAGTTTGTACCGCTGATGGCTCGCATTAAGTTTAAATCTTTTTGACATGAGTTGACCAAGTTATGAATGTGGGGTGTCCGTGTCATATGGTGGTCGAAAGTTACTCCTAGGAATTTGGCTTCATTTTTTAAGTCAATTTTTTTATTATTTAAATGTAGATTGGTTATATAATTTTGCATTCTTTTAGTTTTGAATAGAATGCCCACGTTTTTTTTACATTTATATGGAACTCCCATTTTTGGGCCCAATTTTGAATGAAATTTAGCATTCTTTGTATTTTAGTAGATGCCTGTTTTACAGAAGTGGATGAAGTTCAAAATGAAATGTCGTCGGCAAATTTGGCAGTTGAGATTTCAGGCCATTTTTCTGGAAATATGTCGTTAATCATAAAGTTGAATAAAGTTGGGGATAGTTTACTCCCCTGGGGGGTGCCATTTTCCATTGGGTAGGGATCCGAAATGGTGTTGTGAGATTTGATTGTTATTTGTCTATCGTTTAGGAAAGAGTGAATGAAATTTAGAATTCGACCGTGTATGGCATGTTTTTGAAGTTTTTGTAGGAGGCCGTTATGCCAAACCATGTCGAATGCTTTACTGAAATCTATAAAAATGGCCATTGTGTATTGTTTTTGTGCTTGGGCTACTCTGATGTCTTGTTCCAGATGTAAAATGTGATCTAAAGTTTGTCGATTAGGAGTGAAGCCACTCTGGTCCTCTTTTATAAGATTTTTATTTAAGATTTGGTGTTTTAGCCTATTGTTAATGATAGTTTCAAGAGTTTTGCATAAGTGAGAGGTGAGTGAAATGGGGCGGAAAGAATCTGGGTCGTTATTTGGTTTGCCAGGTTTGAGGATTGGTACCACCCTGGCTGTTTTCCATGCAGTAGGTATGTTGCCTGAAGTCCAGATGTGGTTGAAGAGTGTAAGTGTAAGGTTTTGCATGTTTGGTGTGAGTTTGTTTAGTATGGTGTAAGTGATGGCATCTGGACCTGGGGCTGAGGCTGTGTTTTTGTTTCTTAGTGCAGATTTAAGCTCGTGTATGTTAATGGATTTGTTTATTGGGAGGTCTGTATGGGGGAGAAGGGGTATTATATTTTGGAATTGTGGTGGGTAGTTGGTGGAGCTACTAGTGGTCGAGAAATGGGCAGCAATAGCGTTAGCCTTATCTTTGTTTGGGGGGAGGTCTGGGATATTAGGTGAAATGGGGTTTTTTTTAAATGCCCTTTATGGCTTTAAATTTGTTCCACATTTGTCGAGTGTTAGCCTTGTTTAGCCTAAGGGTTGAACAAAAGTTTCTCCAATGTTGGATTTTTGCTGCCTTTATTAGTTGTATAGTATTATTTCTTAGTTTTTTTGCCAAATGTAATTTTGAACGGTCCCTTTTTGATTGGTTAAGGGCCTTTTTTCTTGCCTTTCTGGCGTTTATGATGTCTGAGCTCCACCAGGGGACTGTTTTTAGTGCTGGGTTGGACCGAATGGTGGGAATGCATTTTTTTGTGATGTTTATAATGGCGTTTGTGTAGTTGTTGTTGAATGTGTTTATGTCGTGGTTGTAGATGCTAGTAGTGTCTAGTTGTTTGCAGAGTGTGGTAAATTTATGCCAGTCTGCTTTTTTTAGGTTGAATTTGAGTTCAGGAGGTGTGGATTGGATGTTGTTGGTGGTGTTTGTAGGTGTGGGGTGTGTATGTGATGGGATTGTAATTTTGATGGGTCAGTGGTCACTGCCCCAGGTGTCATTGTGGACCTCCCATATACAGGATTGTGTAAGTTTAGGTGTAGTGAGTGTGATATCTATTGCTGTGGGTGAATGTAGGTGGGAGAGTGGGTATCTTGTAGGTTGGTTGTCGTTTAGTGTGCTTAGGTTGTGTTTGTCTAGCCAGTCGGAAAGTCGAGTCCCATTAATGTCGGTGAAAGGTCTTGTGCCCCACAGTGGATGGTGTGCGTTGAAATCTCCGAGGATAATGGTATATGGACTTATGAATTTGGATAGTATTTCTAAATAATCATTAATAGTGATTTTGTGGGTGGGTCTTCTATATACGTTTATGATGGTAAATTCTTTATTATTAAGTTTTGTTTTAATAGCCAGGACTTCTAGATCTTGGGTGGGGATGTCGAAAGTGGTATAATTTAATTGCTCTGTTATAAAGAAGCCCAGGCCTCCGGCAGGGGGGGGGCTGGGATGTTTACGGGCCGAGGTCTATCTTTCCGAATGAAAATATAGCCTGGTATTTTGAAGGCATTTTTAAGTGATAATTTGGTTTCTTGCAGAGCGATTATTTGGGGGGAGATTTTATTTTGGGCGATGAGTGCCTTAAGCTCATGCCCGTGTACTCGGAGTCCATTGCAGTTCCACTGTAATATAGCCATGGTTGCAGTAATTTGTAGCAGTAGATTAATAAAGACCATGGATTGGGGCATAATTTGCAATAGGTTGTTGGTGGCTAGGGCAGCTTAGTGGTTGGAAAGGTTTAAGAGAGGTAAGCGTAATTGTATAGCATATTGGGGCTTAATTTGTAATGGTGCAGTTAAGCTGTACTAATTAGGAATAGGGGACCTAAGAAAAAAAGAAAAACGGGTTTGTAACGGATGGAGGGGGGTTGGGGAGGCGGTAAGGCAAAGGCCGTGGCTGTGGGTTGAAGGGCTGTGGGTGAGCTGGCTTGGTTGAGAGGCCGTGACCTTGTACTGGAGAGGTTGTGCTGGTTTGTTTACACTTTAGTGACTACTGATTGGCTGAGCGAGGGCGCGGACGTCGTAGCAGAAATAAGGCACTCTGGATAAGTGAAATTGATTCCCAGGTCTAAATAGGTAGGCTTATGTTGGTAATAGAGTAATAGTATGGATAAATGAAGTTTTGAAGCCTAATCTAAATATATACGCTATTGGGAGGTAGTGTTATGTAGATTTGTTTGGGAGGTTCTAAATTTTATGGATTAGGTTGGAGTTTTGTAGGAAGGTGGCTATGGCGTGGAAGATAGTGGGCGGGTTGAGGGGATTAAAATGTAGATGTATGTTATTGTGGTATTTAGATGGTATACTGCTGTGTAGTTGTGTGATGTTTGTTTGTTGCAGGTGACAGTGTGTAAATATATGTTCAATTGTTTCGGGTAGTTTGCATTGTGTGCATAGTCCATCTGGGTGTCTATTTTGTTTGTATAATGCGTGGTTTAAGTTTGTTATGCCTGTGATTAGTCTAGTGATAAGTATGTCAAGGTGTTTGTTGTTTGAGTAGGTGAGGGTTTTGGTGATAGGTTTGGTTATGATGGCTTTAACCCAGATGGATTTGTGTGTATTGAAGTTGTGTTGGTAGTTTTGGTTGAGTATGTGAGATTTGATGAGTTGTTTGATTTCTGTTTTGGATGTGTGGAATTGAATGGCTGGAGAGTTGTGTGTGGTGGCTAGTTTGGCTGCTATGTCTGCTGTATTATTTCCTTTGTTGTGAGTGTGACCTGGTATCCACATTAATGTTATGTTTTTATTTAATTGAAGTAATGAGTGAATCTGTATAATTAGTTTGTGTATTAGGTCGTTACGTGATTTTGAGTGCTTATTTTGGAGTTGTTTGACGGCGCTGAGGGAATCTGTGAGTATTAAGATGTTGGTGTGGTGCATAGTGGGATTAGGTGGAGTGCAGTTAAGATGGCTGTTAATTCTGCTGTGTTAATGTTTGTATGGTTTGTATAGTGGAGGTTTATTTGTTAAGGGGGTGTTTGTTGTACGTGGATGCCTATGCCTGTTCGATTGTTTGTACCGATTGATGCGTCTGTGTATATGTAGGTGTGGTTAGGAGTAGTTTAGGTTGATGTGGGTTTGGATGAGGTTTGTTTTGGTGTGAATGTCTGGTATTTTAGAGGAGATTTTGAAGTGTTTCTGCTAAGGTGTAGTATCTGTAGAGGGCGGAGGTTTGTCATGAATGTAGCTTGTTATGGGAGGTGTGTGCTGGATGGGTGATGTTTTAGATATTTGTGAATGCAAGAGCGTTAATTGTTGAGTGTGAGTGAGTAGGGGCTTTGTTTGGGTTGTTTTTAATTTTTGATAGTGGATTTTTTGAGTGTTGGTGTGTTTGTATATTTGTATATTGGGTTGTGTTGACTAGCCAAAATACCCAGTAAATTGAAGTGCGTTTGGTTTATTCGTGTTTTGATTGAAGGATGCCTGTGAGTAGGAGAAAAAGTGTTGTAGGAGGTGCCAGTCCTAGTGCCTAGAGGCTAAGGGCTTAAGAACTTATACTGTATGGAATTAAGTTTTGTAGGATTAGATGGGGAGAGGAGTGGAGGACCGGAGCAGCGTAGTCAATCAGTCTAGACTGTATAAGAGTTTTTGTATATGTTAATAAGTGTTTGTTTGTGGCTCCCCAGTTTGTACCACTGATAGCTCGCATGAGATTTTAAGTCTTTTGACATGAGTTGACCAGATTATTAATGTGGGGTGTCCATGTCATGTGTTGGTCAAAAGTTACACCTAGAAATTTTTCGAACTTGATTTCCTGGTTATTAAGGTGGAGTTTGGGTGTATAATTTTGCATTCTTTGCTTTTTGAATAAGATGCCCACGGGTTTTTTTGACGTTAATGTGGAACCCCCATTTTTGGGCCCAGTTTTGGATGTGATTTAGCATTCTTTGAGTTTTGATTGTGGCTTGGTTTGGTGAAGTGGATGATATCCAAAAAGAAATGTCATCAGCGAATTTTGCAGTAGAAATTTCTGGCAACTTGTCCGGGAATATGTCGTTAATCATGAAGTTGAATAATGTTGGGGATATTATGCTCCCCTGGGGGGTTCCATTTTCTATTGGAAAAGGATCCGAGACGGTGTTGTGGGATTTGACGATTATTTGTCTGTTGTTATGGAATGCCTGTATGAAATTTAAAATACGCCCGTGTATGGCCGTTGTGCCAGATCATGTCGAAAGCTTTGCTAAAGTCAATAAAAATGGCCAGCGTGTATTGTTTTTGTGCTTGAGCTACCTTTATATCATGCTCCAAATGTAAAATATGATCTAAAGTTTGCCTTTTTGGAGTGAAGCCACTCTGGTCCTGCTTGATTAAGTTATGGGTTAGAATTTGGTGTTTTAGTCTATTATTTACTATAGACTCAAGTGTTTTACATAGTAGTAGATACAATGATAGTCCGGGACCAAGTCCAACAAAAGCCTCTGCAAAGCCTTATTTCACAAATAAAGCTTTTGTCAGGCCCTTAGATCTCACCAACTACTTTTGAACCCCCAGTTAACTTCCCGACCCCACTTGGCACTACTGTGCCACTATGACGTGTTGACAGGAGGTAACATTGTACCGTACGGTATGATCAATAATTCCTCTCTAACGAACCCTCCCCCTGGCCCATCTCTCAAGTAGTACAAGTTAGGCTCGTCGGCTTTGATGTCCACTTTATCTATGTTGTAAGTTTTGACTGACCATATCGGATCAGTGGCTCGCTTATGACTATCACCCTCGTGTTCCCCCGTCTGGTATAGGTACCTCACGAGGGCCCTATCTGGTATCTGTTTCTCTTTCCCACGCAATGGCGCAGCCGATTCTGCCACTATTGATTTTAGTTTGATAGCGTCGGCTGGTTTCTTGCGGTGAGCCGGGTGATTTCGTGGTTGATGGCTGACACCACCTGAGGTAGCCGCGCTACCCATTCAGTCGATCGCTTCCCTGGGTTGGTCATCTCTCTCGCATACTGATGCCCGAATAAGCGCTCTGTCCGATTGAATCTCTCAACTATGGCTTGGCTGCCATGAGCCCCGGCAGCACCACGCCTGACCTTGGTATCATGTTTGTCTAGCAGGTGTGACACGGCACCCATGAACTCCCGCCCGGGGTCGACTTGCAGCTCTGTGGGCCATGTCAGCGGACTGCGCTTGTACATGCATTCGAATCCGCGGGCTACCTGGGCCGAGTCTTTCGCGGTCAATGGTTCGGCTTCCTTGCAGCGACTGGCCACGTCCACGACGGTTAAGGCATACTTGTACCTCTTATCGTGGGGTAGGAATAGGAGGTCGGCCTGGTGAACGCTATTGGGCATGTTAATACCGAACTTCCTTCTAGGCACGTAGCGTGGTGCCGGTAAATAGATCTGCCACAGGGCTTGTTTTTCACGCCACGCTTTGGCCTCGTTTGGGGGTACTCGCGCCATGTTAGCCAGCTTATGTACGGTGCTAGCTCCTTTCCAGTACCCACGCGGGCTGTAGTAAATAGTCTCAAACTTTCTTTGGTTCCCTGACATGTCGCCCCAATATATACACCTATGTTCTTGGTTCAATTTTCTCATGCCCGTACGCGTACGTGTTGATCCCATCAATAGCTGTCCAACGCTTAGTGTCCATCGGCGACAGGGACGTCTTGTTTATAGTCAGTCCGTATATCCTATGCCAATCACTTCTAGGCGTGTTCATTTTATGTCTAAAGGTACTGGTCTTGAACAGGGCTTCCTTGAATCTGGCATGTTTGATGTGTTGTTTCACCACGTACTTCTTAACACCCTTCGCGGGGCGGTGGGGTAGCCTTGTGGTTAAAGCGTTCGTTCGTCACGCCAAAGACCCGGGTTCGAATCCCCACATGGGTACATTGTGTGAAGCTCATTTCTGGTGTCCCCCGCTGTGATATTGCTGGAATATTGCTAAAAGTGGCATAAAACCAAACTCACTCACTCACTCACTTAACACCCTTCGCCTTCCGGATCTCGCCATTGTCGCCATTTGGGGTATTCCAAGTCCACCTCGAGGATATAGCCTTTGTTCGAATCGTCCGCGATGCTCATAACATCGATCTCGGACGATACATGCCGATACCCATTCGAATCCCCCTGTGGGTAGATACTGGCTCATGGCCCAGCCGTACAGGTTGTTGGTGTCGAGGTAGAGAATATGATTGGTTGGCTTGCTCGGGTCGTAGCCCTTCACGTATTGATTATTTGCTTTCGCGTATCGTTTGGTAG